TCGTTTCTGGTTTTTCGGTAAAGTTGAGTATTTCTCATGTCCACCTGCAGGGAATTTCACCTCCAAACAGAATTAAGACTGCAGTTGAAAGTGGAATTTCCCAGCAAATTTTCAGCCCCGCACTTTGTCCGGTAAGCGAGATAGTCATTTTGATACAAATATCTTTGAAGTGCCCTGAGTCGTGGCACAAGTGCAAACCGGTACTCAGTTTATTTATACCATTTCGCATGTGGACGGTAAACATGCTGACAAGATTTCAGTCACTGTTTTCCGGAAAGTTTTTAAGTTATCACAAAAGCTGCAAACTTTGATGTGATTGTACACGCTACACAAGCGTGCGCGACGGCTGAATATGAAATCTTTTGCTAGCAGATGTACAGAGAATATCCTTGTAAAGTTCAGCTTTGTACCTCGCTTCTTTCACGGAATTGTTTCCGCCAAAGGAATTTGCATATTTTTTTCGAAGACCCGTACGCGAGATCTAGACACACATGAGCGAAAATCTTAAAACGGGAGGATGATATACGGAGTAGGAGCATATACCCAAATTTTCAGCCTCCCAGCTTTCCTGGTTGCTAAGATGAAACTGGGTGACACAATTCACTCGCTTTCGAACACACACGGATGACCTCTGACAATATGCGTTTTTGTTGGCTGTAGCTGCGCTATAGCGCTGCACAGCAAAACTCACCAAAATTAACGACGAATTAAATATGACTTCAGTGATCTAGAGTTAGCAAAAAATGCGTCAAAAATTAAGTGTTAGCTGCGAATTTGCGCGGAAGAAAACGTACATGTATTTTGCTTTTGCTTCTTTTTTGCAGAATGAATAATTAGATAGCTAATTGCATTCAGGATGATCACGAGCATAGTGATGGCAAGGTAAATATAGTTTCTGATGACTCTGAACCGTATCGTATACGACATAGGAGGATTGCAAGGCTCAATCAGCTGAAATTCAATTAAGTTCCCTGCTTGCGTAGTTGCTTTCCTTGCCAGCGCTTTGTCAAAGCAGCTCCGATAATTAACAAGATACCAAGAAAAAATATCTGATTTTATAAAATTAACAGTTCATCACCTTATCATCGGCTGCGACGAAATTGATGGTGGCAATTGGTATCGCGTAAGCAAGCCCAACAGTAATTGTTACAAGAATGAAATGTTTAGTTCTGATAGTACGATAACTGAAATTATTAGTAAAAAAGAAACCAGGAAAGTCAAAAAAATCTCGAAATGTCGAGTTTCTAGGACTCCATCCACATTTGAAAGCGCATAACATAAAAAATCTAAAAATGCAACTTATTCTTCTTGCTACAGTACTACCGGAATAATTTTCTTTCCTGTTATTCTTCATCCGTCATCCAGCTTGAGAGCAGGGAATAACAGGAAAGAAACAAAAGTAGATCCCGGAAGGGCAAAATTGCTGAAAAGTTTCCAGCGCTTCCTTGGTCTGCAAATATTGTGGAATTCATCATATTCGTTGTGAAATCCATCCACCTTGTCTGTTCATGCTCCGCAAGTCGTTCCAGAAGCAAGCTACCGTAACTGAACTTCGCCGTTTTTTTTTTTTTTTTTTTTTTTTTAT